TCCTTTGCTTCATGTTCCACTGCCATCATGGACCTGTTTTCTGCATCTGGTTCCCCTTCTGATTCACTAGAGGAGTCTCCCCAAGCAGCAAGAGCTTGCTTCACAACATTGTCAGCTGCACTTTTTTGGCTGAATCGTTTGTTAGGAACCAGGTTCCTTTTTGCTGCTTTGTCAGAGTTTTGTTTGTAATGCTCATATTTCAGAAGTGGGTAGTCTTTGATGAAATGCCCTGGATTTCCGCACTTGTGATAGAGATCATAGTTTCTTGGTTTGCTTGTACTACCTCTCTTAGGTATACCACCATTTCTTTGACCCATCTTTTGAAATCTTTTAGTGAGATATGTCATATCACTATCTTCTTCACTTGAGTCATTGTTTTTAGCCTTGAGCACCGAGTTCTTCTCCTTCTTCGGCTCTCTTCTTTCACTATCTCTCTGTCTTTTCATCTTGTATGTCTTCAGATTTCCAATCAGCTCATCCATGGTTAGAGTTTGTAAATCTTTAGCTTCGGTGATAACATTCACCTTACTCTCCCAAGAGCCAGGTAGAACACTGAGAACTTTCCTTACAAGCTTGTTTCTGGGAATAACTTCTCAAAGTGAATGAAGCTCATTTATGATAGATATGAATCTAGTGTGCATATCTTGTATAGACTCATCTTCCTTCATCCTGAAGAGCTCATACTCGGTGGTGAGCATGTCAATCTTGGACTGTTTAACTTGAGTAGTTCCTTCATGTGCCGTTTGCAATGCTTCCCATATTTCCTTGGCAGAATCACATGCTGAGATTCTATTGTACTCATCAGGTCTTATACCACATACCAAGATTTTCTTGGCACGAAAGTTCTTTTATACAACTTTTCTATCAATATCACTGTATTCTTTTCTATTTTTCGGCACCATTGGTCCAGTTTCTCCAAGTTTCTTCATAGGAACATGTGGACCATCACAAATGACGTCCCATAACTCTGAATCTTCTGCCATTATGAAATCATGCATACGGGTCTTCCACCAGCCGTAATACTGACCATTGAATCTAGGGGGTCTGTAGGTTGATTGTCCTTTCTCAAAGTTAGGTGGAGTAGCCATTGAGATCCTTTCTAGGTGTTAACCTTTTAGAAAGAACCTGCTCTGATACCAATTGTTAGTTTATATGGATCCACCATACTATAGAGTACCTGGTCCTTTATGAGTTTCCACTGAAAATACTAATGAACCAAACTGTATAGAGATCTAGTCCTATATCAGTTCCCACAATGCTAACTACTGAACCAGTATGTAAATGAGACACAAAATTTTTACGTGGAAAAATCCCAACTTAAGGGGACAAAAAAACCATGACCTACACTGGTAGGATTTCAACTTCACTAACTTGTAAACACCTATTACAAGCCATTTTGTAATGACTCCATTATAAAGAATTTAACTCAACTAACTTGTGATACTCTTACCACAAGCCACTTTGTCACTCTATAGTTATAAAGACTTTAATCACTCTAACTTAGTAATATACTTATCACAAGCCACTTTGTCACTCACTAGTTACAAAGACTTCAACCACTCTAACTTGTAATACACTTATTACAAGCCACTTTGTCACTAACTAGTTACAAAGATTTCAACCTATAACTAACTCTAGTCACAATACAAACTCAGATGGTTTATGATTTTGGGTTTTCTAAAACAAAGCTTCTAATAAAGCAAGATAGGATTTACAGTGAATAGCAAATAACAAAGACTCAACAAACCTAAGGACTTAAGATATCTTCAATCTTTGAATCTGGTCTTTGAGGTTGCAACAGCTTTGTTCTTGAGAGAGGTGTTTCTCGCACTTGAAAGAATATCACTGAATATGCTCAAGTATAGTCTTGTGCCTTGCACCAGGTTAGTTATACTACAAAAGGCATCACTATGGTGATGTCAATTCACAATAGTGATGTCAATTCTTGGTTAGTACATGCCTCTTCCCAATGAGAAGTGACTTCTGCACTGTCGCGTGTACAGTTGCAGGCAGTCACTTTCTGCAATTGATTTCCAGCTATATAGTTGACTTATACTTCTGTCAAGGGAACACCAAGGGATCAGGTCCCTAATCTGGTTCTTGTGAATCTAAAGGCACACTGCCAATATTATCTTGAGTTGATTAACTTGAATGATTGTATCAGTCATGCTTCAGGTCCTTTATCTGGTTCTATACAAAAAGTTTGTTCAATCATCAAAACATAGATTAAAAGACCTTAAGCCCATCAACTTATGATACAGATATTATATGATTCAAATACCTTAAAGCACGACCTTTTAAGTATATTAAGCACCTCTAGGTTTACCCGAAAATACAGGTTACAACATCATTGATTCGTTTAACTTCTAATATTTGTTAACCACCATTATACACCCTTGTCTAATTTAAGACCAATAGGATTAACTTCTTATCATCTTAAAGATAATCTCTTTATGGATTTACGTCGACTACCTTATGGCATGAACTAACATACGTGAATATGGGTTGTAACAAATAATTTATAATGGTTTGGTCAATTGATCTACATATGATAAAACTAATATAAAAGAAGAAAAACTATTGAGAGAAAAATCTCCCCTTAAACAAAACTCTTTAATGACTACATTGTGGATATTTTTGTGTTCTTGTGAGAAGCACAAATCCTTAATTTATAGATGTGCAAAATTTGTCTTTCAAGAAAGGATAAGACATATTAAGGAGATTTAATCCTTTTAGGAGTTTTTTTCTATTCCTTCAAGAAAGAGAGTCCTAATAGATTAGAAATTCAGGGCAAATTCTAACATAAACCATTCCCATAATCAAGATAAATTATATTTAATCTTGTGCTACAATCATTCCTGATAGTTTATCCAATTCCATCATTAAATTGTGACCACGATCTTTATACTTATAAGAACCGATAATTTAATATTTCGTGTATAAGCTAAACTCTATACACTAAATCATCTACTATATAAGTAAAGAGCATAAACGAATATATGATTTATTTAAAACTTTATTAAAATTAAATAAATAAGTATTCCATAATAAATACTATATCCAAATCAAAATCCATGGTTAATAGTATATATCCCAAAAGTTATAAACGAAAGTACTAGTTCTCGGTACCAACCATATACTATCAACAAACTGATGCAAGATAGATATTTGAAATTAGGATCTACCCACCCAAGGAAGAGAATAAAAGGTTTAAAGATCATTAAATCTACTGAACTAGTTTGTACAACCAACAGGGTGCAACTACTAACGTGTAGCAGGTATTTTTCCAAGTTCTATTGAAGAAAAGTACAACAACTCCCAAAAGAACCACACACAAATTAGGACCCCGTTATAGCATAAAGATTTAGTTTTGGGTAGAGCTAATCTATCACTTTATTTATTAATATTTGCACTTAAATTTAAACTTGATCATTCAAATATAATTTTATTATTTAATCCTAGTTTTTGGCTTTACAAAAAATGTTCGGTATTAATTTAATTGTGTTTAAATTAAATGACAATTAAACCAATAATTCATATAGTTCAATCTCAAATTATCACTGGTTCTTGGAATAAGAGTTCCGAGACTTCATGGCTTCGAGGGAGGTTTAATAATTCTTTGTCAATCTATTTATTTCACAAAATATCTTTCTTAATCAATAGGGATTCTGATAGGCTAAAAAATATAAGGTTTGGCTTGATGCCATATTTGTGTTTCGAGGAGCTCGAGGGGATTTAATATTCTCAACAAATATACAATATTTGGTTGCTATTAATAATTTTCTCGTAAATACTACATGCATAATTATGTGGGAATCTATATATTGTTTTATGTAGTATAAAATGTGAAATAAGAATAAAAGTAGCACGCTAAAATGTCAAAACTAACTCGCATAATAATAGTAAGCAAAACCTTTGCGTTCTTTAAAAAGTAAAAATATATTTCTAAAGTATTACTAATAACCAACCACAAAAAGGAACAACAACAACAAAAAGAGACAAATACATTAATATCATCAACAAAAATATAGTAAAAATAATAACAACAACATAAGAACCGGAAAATAGATGATCCCGAAAGAACAACAACAACAACAACAACTCCCCGAAAGAACCACACACAAATTAGGACCCCGTTATAGCATAAAGATTTAATTTTGGGTAGAGCTAATCTATCAATTTATTTATTAATATTTGCACTTAAACTTAAACTTGATCATTCAAATATAATTTTATTATTTAATTTTAATTTTTGGCTTTACAAAAAATGTTCCGTATCAATTTAATTGTGTTTGAATTAAATGACAATTAAACCAATAATTCATATAGTTCAATCTCAAATTATCACTGGTTCTTGGAATAAGAGTTCTGAGACTTCATGGCTTCGAGGGAGGTTTAGTAATTCTTTGTCAATCTATTTATTCCACAAAATATCTTTCTTAATCAATGAGGATTCTTGTCGGCTAAAAAATGTAAGGTTTGGCTTGATGCCATATTTGTGTTTCGAGGAGCTTGATGGGATTTAATATTCTCAACAAATATACAATATTTGGTTGCTATTAATAATTTTCTCGTAAATACTACATGCATAATTATGTGGGAATTTATATATTATATGTAATATAAAATGTGAAATAAGAATAAAAGTAGTACGCTAAAATGTCAAAACTAACTCGCATAATAATAGTAAGCAAAACTTTTTCGTTCTTTAAAAAGTAAAAATATATTTCTAAAGTATTACTAATAACCAACCACAACAAGGAACAACAACATAACAGTAACAAGTAACAGTAAAAACCAGTAACAAGTAAAATAGATGAAAAATAATACTATAACAAAGTAAAAGGGCCCAACCGGGTTCGAACCGGTGACCTCTTGATCTGCAGTCAAATGCTCTACCACTGAGCTATGGACCCTTGACGTTAGTAAACCCTCTATTTTTATATTCGTTTTCATCACTTTCAACCCATCACTTCTTCCCGCCTCCGTTTCTTCTGTCACGCTCTCTCTCCCTATCGCTCTCCTCTCTGTCAGTAGAGAAGCAGAGTGGGCCGCAATGGTGTCACCGCACGGCATCAAACTCGCTGTTTATCTCATCTCTTCTTACTTCGGCGATCTTAATGCTGTAAAAACCTAAGACCTATGTCTAAAGATTTCTATGTTTTAATTTTTCTTCCCTTTTAGGGTTACTCTATCCTCTTATGCACAAACTTTGTAGATGCTTTTCAATTTAACTAAAATCAATTTGTTGATTTCTAATTCATCTTCTGATAATTTTTGCAGAAAGTTTGCGAGTGTCTGTTGCAACGAGGAACTCAATCATTAGCACAAATTGTACGTTTCACAGAGCTTAGCAGAGAGAATGTTAGGAACTGTTTACTTGTTCTTATTCATCACAATTGTGTTCAAGCCTTTGCAGTTCAACAAGAAGGTACTGTCACTAATGCCAATAGTACTACTTTCTCATATTACAAATTAGTAGCCTTTTCAATTAATTTATATACACCATCATGTAAGGATTTTTTACACGGTCAGGCCACTTTTATCTGTAGATATCCTTTGGTGACCTGATAGTTTAAAAAAATTCTTTATACTCACAATGTATATAACTGAAAACTCTTTAAAATTTGAGGATAGATAATGAGAAGTTACTTGATATCTGATATATTGATTGCCATTTAGGTGCATTTGGGGAGGCACCAAAAGTTATTACAAACTACATGGCATTATTTGACAACATAATCCATAAATTGAGGTTCCCTAAGTTTTTAGAGATTGTGTCTGAGGTACTCGGAGAAAAAGTAGGAAAAGAGGGCGGAAAAGAAATCGGAAAAGAAGTGAGTTTCATGGTTATCGTTTGGTTTTAATTTCTGTTGCCGTACTTCGAGCTGATTATATTTTATGTTTATGGTATTGAATGTGTTTGTTTGTTTGTTTTCTAGTGTGAAGAGATTTTTGAAGGGTTGCTTCAACATGGTAGGCTTTCACTCAACCAAATTATAGATAGATTCAAGCAGACATCAAATCAAGGTGAAAGAATTATCCTTTCTGTAGTTTTCTAGTGTGTCTTGTAAACTCTGATTATAGACATCTATGTTCTTCGTACGTAAAGCAACTTTTGAGCTTTATGATCACCGGAAGCTATTGCATAATTCAAACAGCAGGCACTCCTGTTCTATTTCATAACCACAATTTGCATTTTTATTTGTTTCTTGATTATGATTACTTGAACCTGAAGCAACAAAAGTTGGGTTGTCAATCTTCTAAAAGCTGAAGCTGCATATCCTAAACATCTTTCTTACTTTAAGAGGTCCTCGTCACTATCCAGGAGATTCTAGCGCTGAAGCTGCACGAGATAACTTCAACAAGCTAGTTAACGCTCGATTCGTGGAACGCTGTCCTGCCCCTGAACCATTTCTTGGTCCACCAGCTGAAGACGAAACTGCTGCAAAGAAACAAGGTGCTAAATCTGCCAAGGTACTCTGGTGTCAAAGTTTATTATGATGATGACAACTTCTTTTCAATACTGTTTTCCATGAAAGACCTGATGACTCCATGTGATGTTGGTTTTCCGCTGCATTTTTAATTTAACTCTAGAAATTTGTGCAATCGTTGCTTTTCTTCTTAAGATTAAGAACTTCTTAATTCAGCATGTGCTTTGGCACTGTTAATCATAGATTGCAAGTAAATGTCATGGTGATTTTTGCGAGCAATAGCATACTTCTCTGTTCTTCTATTAACCAGCAAATCTTCTTACGAGAGGTCGAACCGTCTGAGTTTAAAACTAGATATTCCCATATCACTCTCATGTACAAGTTTACAACAAGTCATTGAAGCTTTTGCTATGATGGACAATAAAACATAACAAATTGAGGAGTTCCTTGTCTAATTGGCTAAGAAGTTTGGTTCAATTCTTGACTGTTTTACTTAAACTCATAAGTGTCTTAGGGCAAAGGCTATGTCAGTACCATATATGTTTTTCCATAAATTATTTATTTACAAGACATAATTTTCTTCCCAATAAGAGCCTATCTACAATTGGAAAAGGTCAGTCATAATTGGAGTATTTTTAAGCAGCTTTCGAAAAAAAAGATTAAATTTAAGCTTCATCAATATTTTATAGTGTACTTTCATTTATCATTTGAAACTGAGGAATGCATGTTGAAGTCACAGAAAATGACAATAAACAAGAAAAAGAGATAGGAGACAAGATTCACAGTCAGTGCTGTCAAAGACGCTCTTAAAGCGTGCTTATGCCCTGAAGTGAGGCACAAAACATGTTGAGCACTTCGCCCTTACTTAGCGGGCGCTTCAATGTCGTCATCAAGGCACTAAGACATACTTTTCCTTGCTAATGAGTGTAATCTTAAGGAAGCGACACTAGAAAATTGATATTTCACTTTATTGCAATTTTTTTCAATTTCCTTGTCCATATGTTTGTTATTCATACTTATAGTTATTAGTCTTAGACTACACATAAGTATTTGTATTTTTCTTGCACCTTTCCCCATTAAAGCCCACATTTCATTTGCAATTTTCACTTAAAGCCCCAACGGACCTTAGAACTTTTTTGTACTTTTCACCTTTGATAGCACTGTTCACAGTGTAAAACAAATGCTCCAGTTGTTTCAATTATATGGCACTCTTTCGATTTTGGATCATTCCAAAATGTTTGACACAATTCTATTTCTATCCAACTTTAACAACTTCCAAAAATTCAAATCCATAAAGTCAAAGTTTTAGACTTTGGTGTGCTATTTTCACTGTCAAACTAAATTTTCAACTAGTACTTTAATATTTTGTCCATTGCCACTAATAATACATAAGTAAAAAATAATATTTTAAATGCCATCCTCAGTCAAACAACAACAACAACAACATACCCAGTATTCCCACACTGTGGGGTCTGGGGAGGGTAGTGTGTACACAGACCTTACCCCTACCTTGTGAGGATAAAGAGGTTGTTTCCAATAGACCCTCGGCTCAGGAAAGTATAAGCACCACATTAATGGAAATATAGACAAGAAGGGACAGTACCAAAAAGCCATATAAAAGCAGAATAAAAACAACAAGATAGTAAGGTGATCAACAATGAAAGAAAACAACGATTAGTTATAAGAACCTACTACTAACAAAAAGTGAGACTGTGTGCCAATACTACTGTTATGAACACTCTAGACTACCTGCTCTACTACCCTAATCCTCGACCTCCATACCTTCTATCAAGGGTCATGTCCTCGGTCAGCTGAGGTTGCGCCATGTCTTGCGTAATTACCTCTCTCCACCTCTTCTTTGGCCTACCTCTACCTCTTCGTAGGCCCTCCAATGTCAACCTCTCACACCTCCTCACCGGGACGTCTGTGCTCCTCCTTCTCACATGATCAAACCACCTAAGTCGCGTTTCCTACATCTTGTCCTCAATAGGGGCCACACCCACCTTATCGCGAATAACTTCATTTCTGATCCTATCTAACCTGGTGTGCCTGCAAATCCATCTCAACATCCTCATCTTTGCTACTTTCATCTTCTGGACATGAGCGATCTTGACTGGCCAACACTCAGCCCCATACAACATCGTTGGTCTTACCACCACTCTGTAGAAATTACCCTTAAGTTTCGGTGGCACCTTCTTGTCACACAAAACACCGGAAGCGAGTCTCCATTCCATCCATCCCGCTCCAATACGATGTGTGACATCTTCATCAATCTCCCCATCCCCCTGAATAACAGACCCAAGGTACTTAAAACTACCTCTCTTAGGGATGACCTGCGAGTCCAGCCTCACCTTCCCTTCCCCTCCTCGAGTCTCGCCACTGAACTTACTCTCCAAGTATTCTGTCTTGGTCCTGCTCAGCTTGAAACCTTTAGATTCCAGAGTCTGCCTCGATACCTCTAATTGCGCGTTCACACCGCCTCGCATCTCGTCAATCAATACAATATCATCTGCAAATAGCATGCACCACGGCACCTCCCATTGGATGTGGCGCGTCAGTACGTCCATTGTCAGAGGAAAAAAGGGCTGATTACCGACCCCTGATGCAACCCCATCATAAGCGGAAAATCGTCAACATTTAAAGTGCTTTCCAACAGACTCAAGAAGGTTCTTGACATGCCCGTTTCGTCCTCTCAGAATGCGTTTGTGGAAGGTAGGCAGATCCTGGATGCAGCTTTAGTGGCAAATGAACTTGTAGACTCCAGAAGGAAAAATAGAGATCTCGGCTTACTATGCAAGTTGGACCTTGAGAAGGCTTTCGACCATGTCAATTGAGAGTTCCTGGATTTCATTATGCTGCGGATGGGGTTTGGGGCAAGATGGAGAGGATGGATCAAGTTCTGCATTTCCTCATTTAGATTTTCTGTCCTGGTTAATGGTAGCCCGTGTGGTTTCTTTGACAACTCCAGGGGTCTCAGGCAAAGAGACCCCCTATCCCCCATGCTATTCATTCTAGTGATGGATGCTCTGAGTAAAATGATGGATCGTGCGGCGGGCAGAGGCTTCTTGAGAGGATTCTCAGCTCCGATCGGGGTGCCCAGTGCCCGAAGAGTCTCTCATTTGTTTTTTGCGGATGACACCCTGGTTTTCTGTGATGCCGATATGGATCAGTTGACCTATCTGAAACAGGTCCTGCAGTGGTTTCAGATAGTATCAGGTCTCAAAATCAACCTCGGCAAGTGTGAAATTTTCCCTATGGGTTAGGTTGCTAACATTGATGCTTTGTCTTATGTTCTTAGATGTAAGGTGGGCTCCCTTCCCACTACTTACCTGGATCTCCCATTAGGCGCTTCGCATAAGGATACTACGGTTTGGAATCCAGTGATCGAAAGGGTTGAAAAAAGATTAGCAGGTTGGCAGAAACGGTAGGGGGGTGCATACGATTTATCGATTCGATTTTGACCCTTATCGATAATTACTTATCGATTATCGATTTATACATATGCCTATCGTTATCGTTTCAATAAGGTTTTGATTTTTTCGATTTCGATTTATCGATTTTTGGGGCTTATCGATTACACCAATAAGAAAATTTGTGGGATTCCACGGAAAGTATATCGCTATAAACATGCCTAACTAATATGGACAAAAAGAAGCTAAAATAAGACGAACATCGTTTATAACATAAAAATTGTGTCAACAAGCACATGCAACGAAACTAAAGTAAGAGATCAAATGTATGCCACCAATACTCCAGCAGTATAAAAAAAAGTTGGTCTTTTTTGTATTGTTATCTCTCCGTAGGCCTATGTATAAGAAAAGTTTGTGGTGTAAGGGAAAGAAAATTAAAAGAAGTTGAGGAAGCCATGAGAGTTGTACATGAAAAGTCCGTGAAAGAAGATCAAAAGGAGAATGAGAAAATAGAACGACGGAGAAGAGAGAACTTATAGTCAGAGATGAAGAAGGTGATGGAGGAAGGCATATGTAGAGTTGTATCAGTTTGAGACGGTCGATTTGGAAGAAAATAGATTGGTTCTTTTTTGGCTATCGATTGGAACCTTAAAAGCTTGACTAACTCGGTACAATTCTAACAAAAACCGATAACGAAAAAAAGTTGGTCTTATCGGTTTATTGATAAACCGATAACTGAAGAGGACAAAATCGAAATCGATAACTCGATAAGGAAAATTTCGAAATCGAAATCGATAAATCGATAAACCGATAACAAATAATCGATTCGATTTATCGATAAACCGATTCGAATGCACACCCCTAAGAAACGATACTTGTCAAAAGGCGGAAAGGAAGTGCTTATCAAAAGCACTTTATCGAGTATGTCCTCCTATTACCTGTCCCTGTTGCAAGCTCCTGTGAGCATCACAGAAAAACTGGAGCGGCTTCAAAGGAATTTTCTTTGGGATGCGGCGGATGGAACTAGAAAGTATCATCTAGTGAATTGGCAGACAGTCACTTCCCCAAAGAAATGGGGTGGACTTGGAGTAAAAGATCTTAGGGTATTCAACAGAGCTTTGTTGGGGAAATGGCTGTGGAGATTCGGGGTAGAAGAGCATGCTCTATGGAGGGAGGTCATCGTAGAAAAGTTCGATTCCACGGGAGGGGGTTGGAGGACCAAGACAATCACAACACCTTTTGGGTGTGGCATGTGGAGGAGTATCATGAAGAATTGGGAATCCTTCAGTGGTAACGTCACTTACAGGGTGGGAGATGGAAGGAGAATAAACTTTTGGAATCATAGGTGGTGTGGAGAGGATACTCTGAGGGTCTCCTTCTCCCACGTCTTCAGAGTTTCAAACCAGAAAGAATTGATGGTCCAACAAATTCGTAAGGGGCATGAAGGGGGGATAGTATGAGACCTCTCATTTAGAAGGAACATGCAAGATTGGAAGATTGCAGAGCTCCAAGATTTATTGACACTGCTATATGGGCAAGACAGGCCCCAGCCATCTTGTGATTCTTGGAGATGGGGTTTGCATGGCGATGATTTGTTCATCGTAAAGTCCTTTTACCAGAGTATGTTGGTGAGAAATGAGGCCTCTTTTCCATACTCCTCGATCTGGATTCTTAA